ATATATTGGACGACCAATATTATTGGTCCCAATAGATTGAGTGACCAATATTATTGGGACCCAATATATTGTATTGGTGCATGCCTACACAGAATGGCAACGGTAGTTTTTAAAATCCCAAAACCTGCTGTAGACCTATGGTGGAAAACGATTTCACTACGGCTCAAACTACTTCAGAATATCAAAATATATTTTTTTTGTTCTTTCTTTCGATCTAAAAAGTGCATGATACAACTTGTAATGGATTTTCATGATTCGAAAGTTTAGTGGTTTGAATAAACATGATTAAATTAAAATATACTCTGTTTTGTCTATAGTGTATCATAGAGTTCAATAAACATTTTCAAAATTTACTGAGAATACTTGGATTGTTGAAAAGCGTTTCTAGGAATTTTCCGAAATAAGAGAATATTTCTCACTGATCTTAAGTATATAATTAGACAGAGGAGTATATCTTGATATTCTGAAGTAGTTTGAATCGTTTTCCACTGTGGGTTTTTAGCAGGTTTTGGGATTTTATTCCGAAAACTACCGTTGCCATCCTGTGTTTCCATGTATTTTCCGAATTTCTAACGTGAGGATCTATGGATTCGGATGTCTCAGAAAAACTAATTTCTCATCTAAATGACGGTAGATGAGTGAAAGTTTTCGAAAAAAAGCGAATTTTTCCAAATATCGTGTCCTGTGACTTTCAGCGACTGAAAACTCTAGATCTTTAGCTCATTTTATTCAAAAAAACACCTACAAAAGTTGGTAACGGGAAACGTGCAATATTTTTATTGTACAATTCGTGTAAATATGCCATTGAATCGATAAGCTAAGCAGTTATGGTATCGAAGGTAAGTAGCGCTTAATAAAGGAGAATGTATACAACTTACGTCTAATAAATTCTGAAATAAATTTTTTGTTTGATTTTCTGTCCGTATTGTGTACAATTGAACATAAAGAGCATATAAATAACAATACTGAATACTACGAACAGTGTCAGAGTCTCGAAGGCATGTTTGTCATGTTTATTCTAGTAAACATGACAAACATGTCTGTTTATGGATCGGAACTAACAGTACATATATAAAAACTATAGGAGCTAACACACGAGGAAAACACCTTTTATAATTCACATTCAGGTATATATGTATAGATAGAAGCAAAATACGGTAGCTGTTCATTTTGACAATTAAAAAGTTAACAACTTATTAAATTCACAAAAAATAAATAAGAAACCGGTATATATAGAATATCACAACGAAAAAATCATATGCGTCCGCATCAACAGTAGACACAATGGAATGTAGTGCATAGAATAGTAGATGTTGAATAAGCAACTCGAATCGATGTGTTGTTGAAATGATTGGATCACAAAACGATCTAAAAACACCATAATAAGTAACGAATGATCAAGTTGAATGGCAATGAAGATTACCTCTTATTCGACGTTTACACAGCTGCCGCTTCAGAAGTTGGTAACGACAAACGTGCAATATTTTGATTGTACAATTCATGTAAATGTGCCATTGAATCGATAAGCTAAGCGGTTATGATATCGAAGGTAAGCAGCGCTTAATAAATGAGAATGTACATAACTTACATCTAATAAATTCTGAAATAAATTTTTTGCTTCATTTTCTGTTCGTGTTGTGCATAATTGAACATAAAGAGCATATAAATAACAATACTGAATGATACGAACAGTGTCAGGATCTCGAAGGCTCGTATCTAAATAGAAAACTTGGATGTAAGTGCATACAACATATACCGTCAGCTCTTACTTACCCTTTACACAAACGGCGATGGGAAATAGAAGTGCTATGAATGAGAGTGAAATAATAGTGAACAAAAAGTATCGTTTATTGATGATAGTATTCTCTTACAATGTTCAACAATTGTTAATTTAAATCCACGCAGTTTATTTGCAAATTCATGCAACGCTACTACGGTATTAACGCCGATAATACGTTCCATAAATTTACGAGCATATTGAATTCCATTTATTAACACAATATAAGATTCTCCTTTATAAAATAATGGCGCTTTGTCAATCTAAACAAAACGCAGGAAAAAAATAAAACAAGAGTATGAATTGAAAGTATACTGTTTACCAGCCAAAAGTCAAACATACGATTATTCAATATCTTAAAAAGATCTTCTGAACATATTTCATTCACTGCCGGAATCTGAAATACAACACAAAACAAATAAATAAGATACTTCGGACTTTGTAAATATATTACCTCATGAACAAATTTTATACAATTCTCAATATCAGTACGAAGCGTTCCTAAAAACAAAGAAACATGATTTAAAATTATACTGCACTCTAGTTTTGATTGAGGCTATCATATTATACCCGAAATACCCGCCCATATTTCATCCGTCGTTGATGCACTACCGGGAAATTCAACGACCTAAAACAAGATGAATTCATTCATCAATCCAAAAACATTCGAAAAAAAAACATATTCTTAATCCCAGATATATTTATTCTAATACTATGCCTCAAGTAATGGATCACTTACTCCCATATCAATTAGTGTATTCATTCGTTTCACTAATTGTCTTGTTGTGGTGTTAAATTGTGTCACTAATTTCAACATTTTCCATCTTAAATATCTGAAAAATGTCGTCACTTCATAATCCAATTCATAAACAAAATAAGGTTGAGATAATTTTGGTGCAATATTTTTCATAATGGAAATAACATTTTTTTTATAATGTAATTCACAATTACGCATATAATCATTTGCAGCTGATTTATTCAATTTTAAAATAAAATGAGCAACACTTAATTCTTTGTGATCTTTATCATATATTTCTTCTTCGATTAATGTTGGTGGCGTACACAGGGAGAAGTGAGATGTGTAGGTCGATATACCACTTGTATTAATATGAATTACTGATGCTTGTGATGGAGAACTATTGGACGGAATTTGTTGTAGTGAAAATGAAGCTGAGGATGACGATGATATAAATAATTGTGATGAATAGAAAAATGACGGCAAGCATAACAGAGAGAGATGAGGAGTATTATAATGTGGCTGAAGTATACTTGGAATCATGACAGTATCTAATGTTTGTAATGTACGCGATGAATGAAAGGATAATGTTGGAAGAGGAACGGTGGAAACTGGAATTGAGTCTAGAAATTATTAATTATTTAATAAATATTATTTTAATTATTTTTTTATTAAAAAGTTGTGCTCTTTTAGATCTATTTTCAATAATGACCATTTAACGAGTTCAGTGGGGCGTAAAGATATATAGCTTAATGCTCTGTTCTGATGCATGACGGATGTTTCCAGACAAAAGACGGAAAACAGTTTCTGCATGAAAATGGTCCAATATGATTTTGAGTGAATATTATCGGAAATGCTTCTCTTTTCACTTCCCAACACTTTTAACTCTCAAAAATTGCTCCTGATCTCCTTGAAAAAAAATATTTCTCGAGCAGTCCAAGCGTGATAGAATCATCTTTTTTCACTTTTACGAAATCAAACCGGATAAGAACCAGAAATTTTCACACGATATGTAAGGCTAATTGCTCTATAAATGCTAAAAGTTTCAATGAGCTTGATGTTTTCGTTACAATTTTATAGTCAAAACACAGACCATGACGGAATCACAAAAAATAGAAAAAGACTTTGAGCAGTGTCAAGAAAGTCAAAACTCAGCTGAACTATAGGTGCTGGAAAACAACTCTCCATACAAAAGTTGTAGTTTAGCTAACGGGCTACATACAGATTTTACAAGATCTTGCGAGAACGTGTGAGAGGATCTTGTATGATTGTGTAAGAAGTGACAAGATTTCATAAGATCACGTAAGAATTCATCAGATCTTACAAGACTATGTGCCTGATCACGTTCTATAAATTTCCTCTAGACCCTCTTAGAAAAGTATCTTTCTCTATTCATAAGATTTTCTGGCATAGATAGGGCACAAACGTCCTTAGGATCGTGTTTAACCACGTTTCTTATAGTCATGCACTTTATTTGCGCTCAGCTGATGTGTGAAGTTTAAGAAAGAAAAAAATTCTAAGTTTTGTCATAAAAACTATGTTAGATATATATATACTCAATATCATAGCAAATGTCTGTGCTAAGGATGAATCATCGCTTCTTGCAAGATCATACAAGATCTTATAACAAGAAATCGTATGATCGTACGAAATAAATAAATATAAGTCACGCCTCTCAATGAAAAGATTTTACAAGATGTTGTGAGTTCATACGATTTCGTGTTACAAGATCTTATCACGTCTTATGAGCTGACTTTGCAAGATCTTATGACAAGAAGTTACAAGATTTCGCAAGATCTTACAACATCCTGAAAAAATCATACGAAAAATTTGAGGACAGAGTGGATGGCCTTCGTTGAACTGGTCACGAAAAATGATAAGGAATTTTTTTTCAAGAAGATTAGGACTAACTTTTGAAAGACAGAAGTGTTGGTGAAAAAGGAAACATTTCCGATCAGTTTTACGCAAAATCATATTGGGCCATTTTCTTGCAGAAACCATTCGGCGTCCTTTGTTTGCATCTTTTCTATCACATAACACCTTGAGCAGACAAGATTTTAATCCGAAACGCTATGATCAATTTAACCACGAGATATTAGTTCACAAGCCTGAACAACGGATTTAGAGAATAGAATAGAGAAACCTGGTCTTCAGAAACCAAAAATATAACTTCTAATAATCTCACGGTCAACGTATTAAGCGCCACTATCTGTAGAAAATCTTGTTAACAACAACTGTTTATTTTCTTGATGGAAAGTTGAGGGACATGCAAAAGAATTTTAATATACGCTAGCGAAACTGCAGACACAATAGCAGCAAACTGGCGTATTACGTTGAAAACTTGGGAAACTCTTAGGGAAGGGGTAATTGGAGTCGAATAAGTGACAAATAACTATAAGTGACTCCATTAGTTATAAAGTTTCTGAAGATAAGCTTAAATGTAAATGACGCCGACGCTATCAACGTTCGTACATAGAAGGTGTTAGCGTCATTTTCATTTCAACTTATCTTGACCGTATCATGCTTTGAGGGAGTATTCAATGGTGAAACTAACAACTTAGCGTTTGTCCAGAGTACGGAGTCAGTGTAACCCTATCTGAAGCCACTGTAGACATGAAAATGTTGTTTTTAAAGCAAATTTTACCTTTTGTTCTCTTGAGTAATGAGAAACTTTGCTTATCCTAATGAAGGCTTAGATGGCATGATCAGAGCACTGGAAATGTAACAAGAATAGTCTGTTTTTATACTCAATACACTGATACTCTTCTTGTACAAGATAAGATCTCAGCAAAAATAGTATGCTGTTGTTTCCGTGAACTGTTAATCTGTAGAATGATAAGAGGAAGTCTTTTAATTTGTGTGTTTATTATTCCATGGAAATAAGGCAATCGGATAAAGAAGAATTTTAGAGAAATTTAGACGCAAATTAAGATTTCTAAATATGTTTTTCTCCTTTTGTGCCTTGTGCTATATTACTGATTACAATTTTTTCTACAACACTAGCATTTAGTGCGGCAGAGTTATGTATCTCTAAATGTATTCGAATAAAATTACCAGATAAATGAGGAAAAGACTATTTCACTGCATAACTCTTCACTCCTATCAAGAGAGAATTCCTTAGTAAGGCTAAAAAGTTTCCTGTAGCTTGATTATAGGAGAGTTGGCTGATTCAAGTTGTTTAAACCGTATCTCAATCTTGTTTCACCATCTGACTAATTCAGAGTGTGATTGAGATTGATTTAGTTCGCTGTTAGTTTTATCAAATAACGTAATCCAAGTGAAATTCATCCATAAGATTACATAAAATATCTCATTTCTTATAAACTCTTATGGCAAGAATTTATTGCATGACTTCACAAGCAGAGATGTGCGCCGCCGCCGCTGAAGTCGGAGAAAAATTATTGCGACTTCCGCCGCCGCTGACAGCGGAGAAAAACTATTCTGACTTCCGCCGCCGCCGAGGACGGAGAAAACTTTTTTCCGAAAATTTTGACTATTTTTGTTAGTACATTCTTACTTTAGGCATCTAGCGTGCAGCGCGTTTCTATCTTTTCGTATACGGCAACGTACAGTACGCT